GTGGTTACAAAGTGTTATCGGAGGCTTCGTCGACGGCGGATAAACGGTTGGAAGCGGTCGATTCACGACTGAATTTGATGGAGTCAACGTTGCAGGCGATGATGAAGTCAATGGAGAAATTGACTTCGGCGATTCACGGGAAAGCTCCGATGTATACGAATCCTTCCACCTCGTCACAGAATCTGGATCAGGTACATTCGTTAAATCTGGGAACAAATCCGGAAGGGAATCCGCTAGGTTATCGATCTGCGTTGGATGATAGAGACAGGTTGTTACAAAAAGTGGAGATGCCTGTGTTGGATGGAGCGCATCCATATTCTTGGATTGCTAGGGCTGAGCGATTTTTTCGTATTGGCCAACATACGATGCAAATGAGGATGGATATCGTTTCTTTGAGTCTTGAAGCAGATGCGTTGAGTTGGTACAATTACGAAGTTGAGCAGCGTCCGTTTCATGATTGGTTTGATTTCAAGAAAAGGATGTTGGAAAGATTTGCAGAATCGTATGAAAAGACTCCTGGTAAGAGATTGTTTGGGATTAGACAAACTGGTACGATTGCAGAGTATGTGCGAGAATTTCAGGAGTTAGCGACACAACTGAAGGTGGAAGAGTCCCAGTTGGAGGATATTTTTTTCAATGGGTTGAAGAGAGAATTTCAAGAAGTCATTAAAATGAAGGAACCGGTTGGGTTACCGCATTTCATTGCAGCTGTACTCATGATGGAGAACAGTGAGTTTTGTAAGATGATTGCTGGGAAACCGCAGAGTGAGAATAGAGTTGTTAAACAGGGACAAGGGGTCAATTTTCGCAACGCTCCAATTAATCATTCTGCTTGGAAGAACAGAACAAAGCAGAATGATACTGTTCAGGTTACTAACAAATCAGGAGAAAGGCAGCGAGGTAGTTCTCATACACCTTACAAGTTGTCTGAGAGTGAGTATGCTGAAAAGAAGAAGAATGGGACTTGTTACACGTGTGATGAGAAATGGTCTAAAACGCATAACTGCCGTAACAGAAAACTTTATGTGATGGTGGTGTTAAATGAAGACGAGTTTGATAACAGAGATGAGGAGTTTCATGATACAGTGGAGAACGTTAATGAGATGGTTGCAGATGTGATGGAATTATCCTTGTTTTCATTCTTTGGCCAATCGTCACCAAAGACAACCAAGATGTGGGGTTGGATTGGGAAGACAAAGGTATTGGTAATGATTGACAGTGGAGCGACACATAATTTCATTTCTCCAGATATTGTGTCTCAAGCTCAGTTGACAGTAGAGCATGGCGGGAAGATACAAGTCAAGGTTGAGGACGTTGGGAACTTGCCAAGTGGATTGGGAGAGTCAGACACTTTCTTTTTGGAGAGACAACCAAAAGATGACGTTACAAGGTGATCCGTCAATCACCAACAAAGAGAGGAGTTTAGATATGGTGTCTCGAGTTTTGGAATTACACGCTATGGAAGATGATAAAAGACAAGTAATTTCAAGTCCTCAGGCGATTCAGTGTGTACTGGACCAATTTCAACGAGTGTTTGCTGAACCCAAACAGTTACCACCTAAACGGGGTTATGAGCATTCTATTCAGTTGATTCCTGGTACTAAACCTATTTGCATGAGACCATATCGATACCCTCATGCTCATATGGAGGCTATGGAGAAATTAGTAGACGAGATGTTGCAAGCTGGAGTAATAAGGCAGAGTCGTAGTCCTTATGCCAGCCATGTTCTATTGGTGAAGAAAAAAGACAAGTCTTGGAGGTTTTGTGTTGATTACCGGGGAGTGAATAAGGCTACCATTCCCGATAAGTTTCCTATTCCTGTGATAGATCAGCTTCTCGATGAGTTAAACGGAGCTAACATTTTCTCAAAGTTGGATCTTAGGTCGGGTTCCCATCAGATTCCTATGGTGGAAGAGGACATCGAGAAGACAGCGTTTAGAACACACGCAGGGCATTATGAATTTGTAGTTATGCCTTTTGGGTTGTCAAATGCTCCTGCAACATTTCAGTCATTGATGAATTCAGTGTTTAAGACGTTGTTGAGAAGATTCGTTTTGGTCTTTTTTGACGACATTTTGGTCTACAGTCGAAGTGTGAAGGAGCATGCGAATCATCTCAGAGAAGTATTAGAGCTGTTGGTGACGCATCAGTTGTTTGCTAATCATAATAAATGTTCTTTTGGTCAAACGAAGGTGGAGTATTTGGGTCATGTTATCTCATCGGAAGGAGTAGCAACTGATCCATCGAAAACTGAAGCTATCATGAAATGGCCACCTCCAAAAACAGTTAAAGAGTTGAGAAGTTTTTTGGGGCTTACTGGCTATTATAGAAACTATGTCAAATCGTATGGTGTGATAGCAAGGCCTTTAACAGATCTTCTGAAGCGCGAAGGATTTGAGTGGGGGATTAAAGAGCAGACAGCTTTTGAGATGCTCAAAAGTAAAATGGTCCACTCTCCAGTATTGGCGTTGCCAGACTTTAATGAAGAATTTGTGGTGGAGTCGGATGCGTCTGGTTATGGTCTGGGGGCAGTTCTTATGCAGAAGAAAAGACCTATTGCTTTCTTCAGTAAGGGCCTGTCTGATAGGGAGCAGTTAAAACCAGTTTATGAGAGGGAGCTTATGGCCATAGTGATGTCAGTACAGAAGTGGAAACACTACTTAATGGGTCGGAAATTCACTATCTTTACTGACCAAAAGAGCTTAAAATTCTTGTTGGATCAAAGGGATGTGTCCACGGATTATCAACGATGGCTTACTAAGCTTTTGGGCTATGATTTTGAGATAGTGTATAAAGCAGGAGTTGATAATAAGGTGGCTGATGGACTATCTCGTGTGATGACAGATGTTTATGTGTCAACTATGGAGCTATTTGTGGCAGTGACACGGACTTCTAACTTGGAGATTCAAAATATATTGGAGGAAGTTGATCAGGATGTAGCAATACAGAAGTTGTTGAAGGAGGTTGTGGCCGGTACTTGTGGGAAACCGGGGTATACAATCAAGGGGGGTCGTCTGTTCTACAAGGACAGGTTAATGATACCTAAGACTTCTACGTACATTAAAGTGATCTTAGATGAGTATCATAGCAGTGTTGCCGGTGGTCATTCTGGGGTGTTGAAAACGGTAAAAAGGATTCAGAGGTTGTTTCACTGGGTCAACTTAAAAAAGGATGTGCAGCATTTTATCTCAGAATGCCGCATTTGCCAGACTCACAAGTCCTCTACGTTGAACCCAGCTGGTCTTCTTCAACCGATCTTGATTCCGAATCAAATATGGGACGAGTTGTCTATGGATTTCATTACGGGTCTACCTAAATCACATGGAATGGAGGTGATTTTTGTTGTGGTGGACAGACTGAGCAAATATGCTCACTTTATCAGTCTTAAACACCCATATACGGCTCGCTCTGTCGCAGAGAAGTTTGTCAATGAAGTTGTTCGCCTTCATGGGTTTCCGATTTCAATAATCTCAGACAGAGACCGAGTGTTCTTGAGCAGCTTTTGGAGAGAGTGTTTCCGTTTAGCTGGCACTAAATTGAAGTTTTCAACTGCCTATCATCCTCAAACAGATGGGCAAACGGAGGTGATAAACCGTTGTTTGGAATCATATCTGCGATGTTTTACTTCATCTCACCCCAAACAATGGAATCAGTATCTGTCTTGGGCTGAGTTCTGGTACAATACCTCTTTTCATACTTCATTAAAAGCTTCCCCATTTGAGTTGGTTTATGGTAGGAAGCCACCTTCATTGTTGCGTTTTGAAGAAGGTTCCACAAAAAACTTTGAGTTGGAGACTTCTCTGAAGGAAAGGGATGCTATGTTGGCTGATATTAAAATGCATTTGTCTCGAGCTCAAGATTTGATGAAGAACAATGCTGACAAAAATCGTAGAGATTTGCAGTTCGAAGTGGGATCCTTGGTGTTTCTCAAGCTCCGTCCTTATCGTCAGTCTAGTGTGACAAAACGTTTTTGCCAGAAACTAGCTGCGAAGTATTACGGACCATTTAAGATCTTGGAGAAAGTTGGTGAAGTGGCTTATAGACTGGAGTTACCTTCCACGTGCAAAATCCATCCAGTGTTTCACGTTTCCCAGCTTAAGCCGGTGCTTGGCTCGGGTCATTCTGTGATGGCTTTGCCATAATCATTATCGGAGGTTGATGAGTTCGTATTGTATCCTGAGGAGTTGTTGGCGTCACGTTATGACGAGGAGGGTTTGATGGAAGTGTTGGTCAGTTGGAAAGGGTTACCGGAGTATGAGCACACTTGGATGAAGATTACCGAATTTGAAAAGTGTTTTCCGAGCTTTGAGCTTGAGGGCAAGCTCAATTTTGGGGAGGGGGGTATTGATAGGCCCCGTCGTTGTTATGTGAGGAAGAGGAGGACGAATGGATTGAGGGTTGAAAGAGCTGAAGATCAAGAGAGAAGGAATTGTCTTGGACAGCAAGTTGATGGTTGTTAATAATCCGTTAAGAGTAGTTACGTTGCCGTTGGAGTCTGTTAGTTAACGGCAATATTAAAAATACTATAAATAGAAGAGTCGAGAGAAGAGAGTCTTTTATGCAATTTGAGAGAGATTGTATCTGGTTCCTGGTAGAATTTGTCTACAGGAAATTGGCTCTAACTCGTAATTGCGATTTAGAGATTGTATTGGACTCGATAAGATCAATAAAATACACTTTTGTTCTTATCACCGTGCCTTGGATCCGCCTTGGAGATGCACTCTATCATGGCTTGTCCCCAAAATCTCTTATCCAATGGCTGAAGTATTTTAACTAACAGGAGTTTCATAATTACATCATTTGTAACCTTATAATGTCTCGACTCTATGTTTACAAAGCATAGACCTAATTTGGGTACCTAGAAATCTTTTTTTAATTTTCTTCATTGGTTGATGAAGAATCGCAAACATAATAATTATCCTTGTCCATTATACTGAAATAAATTCACATACTTATAAAAGTAATTGTTCTATTAATTAATAATAAAGTATGAAGAAATTTATCTTCGTTGTCTCTGAATTCTCCATGGTGGAGTCATATTTTTCTGGTCTTGGAGACGTAACTTTAGGTACTGCACCTTACTCTTTGTATCATCATAACAACTTGCATGAATTGTAGTTATCTTGCTTTGGTTTTGCCTATTTGGTTGACAAAACCTCATAAAATTATCATCATCCAAGTACGTTACTTTCAAGTTAAGCCCACGAATTACATCTTCCCGCTTGACAATGTCGCAGAAGGATTGGTTTCCAGTTGAAGGATACAAAACTCTCTCTAAGTTCAAGATCTTGAACATATCTATGGTTACGTCATTGGACTTGGCATAGAAGAAACCTCCTGTGTTTTCAGCTGTTACTTGTTGTTGATCACTTGATGAGAACCCGCAAGCCACTGAGACTGAATTATGTGGATGGCAGTGCATTAGAGGGTTCCTTAGCCATATCACATCAGCTTCCTGCAACCAAGTCAGATAATTCATGTAATTAGTGTTTAGGTTAGGTGACTCTAGTGCTAGTGTATAGATTGTTTAATTAGAACATTGATCTATCGTTACGATATAACAGATTTAATGACGGAAATAACATTCTATAAACTATAATTTAAAAGTTGAAAGAAAAGCCTACGCTTGCAGTGTGTACAAATTGGAAAACTAGAAAATTTGATAAACTACATTTGAAAGTTATGTGACATTGTGACTACATCTATATTGCTAAACAACATCTAAATGGTTTCGTCGCATGCTTAACCACAACATGATTAGCCAAAAAAAACTTGGGATTCAGAGAACTCACAGTAAATATCATGTTGTAGCCGAGTTCTAGAATCTCTTTCACCAAAGCCTTTTTATTCCAACTGGCTATAAGACCGTCTGGGTTTAGATATCCAATTTTGTTTCCAGAACTTCTATGAAGATAACAACGAGGATGGGAACGACGACAATATCGAAATGATTGATTATCTAGAGCCACAACAATCAAATGATTTAGCAAGTGTTTGGTTCTTTCTCCAATCCGAAAACTCTCAAGGAACACATCAAGAAGAGATGCTGGTTTTGCCCATTCTCGATCCACCATGGTAATAATCACAGTATTATCTTCTGTAGCTGATTTTTTTAGTAAACTTGATAAGCCTGAAGATTCCTATGACCAAAAATATAAATATAACAAAACTATTCATGAACATCATAAGGTGATCACAAATCATAATATCCATCTTACCGATGGAATGTGGGAGAATTGTGTTCCTCTAATGGTACTCATATATGGGGAACATGAGGGATGATGAGACAGTAACCATAGAATGACTAAGAGAAGGCAACATATGAAAAAGTATGGTAACTTCATCATCCTTACAATCTCCATTTTGTTCTTCAGAGTTGTCAAAATCTGCAAAATCTTAAAATATTAAAACCTTAAAAGTCCAACAAATATTTTATTTTGTTATATTCCCAGTTTGGTGATTATTCTAAATAATTGAATACATATAAGTAAGGTTCATGCAAAATCTAGTAAAATATCATTTTCTCTTGCTTTCCAAATCCGATAGTGTAAAGTAAATAATTGTTACGTCGTCTGTAAGAGTGACATTCTACAAAGGTTCACATATATTAAAAACTATAGAAAATATATTCATCCTTTATTAGTATATTAAAAAAAATTGTAATCGATACCGAACTAAAACTGAACTTTTTATAACTTATCAATGAAATTATAAACAACAGTTTCATGAAACAATAAAATATATTTTTCCAAAAAGAAATCTTTTAGTTAACATATGAAGAAAATGATATTCTGTTGATTCTCTGATTCATTGTAATTTAATGCATTTTGCTCCTTTGAGTATGTATTACCAAGATAACTATTGCTTTTGACTCAATCAATATTAAAGATTGTTTTCTATATTTGTTTCCATATTTTAGTATTATTGTTTTCTCCATATTTCAGAATTCCTTTTTCAAGTGTATTGAATTACTTGCTGGGTTAAAAAATGTTTACTAATCTAACACTAATCCGTGTTCAATGGGTTTATAGATTTTACCCATGTCTGAAAATCCGTTAGGCATGAGTCAGAAAATTGGTATACGCTTTAGAGATTTATGAAATACCTTAATCACGCTTTAGAGATTTATTATAAAATACCTTAATCAATGGGAAAGTAACTTTAAGACAAATATCTTCTCTATTAAAAGAGAAATACCAAATTTATCTACTATTTAAAAGTCATGTTGGACCATATCACTAATTATTTAATTTTGACATATTTGATTATCAAATATATATTACTTTCAAAATATCTTAATAATTAATAAAGATATTAATTAAATAAATTTAAATATAAAAAATCTGTTGAAAAAATTTAACAAGATCTTAACAAAAAAATTAAATATTTTTTTATAAAAAAATTATTTCTTTATTTAGTTATTAAATATAGTCATATATTTAAAAATTTTAGTTAAATATTTATAAAATGAAAAATATACCCGCACGGATGTGCATGCGGGTGAAACTCTAGTTTTGTATCATATATCAATTTTGTTTACATGGTCCAGTGATTAAAAGTGGAGCCCTCCCCCCCCCCTTCCTCTTAGGTTCAGATTTGAAGCATGTTTATGTTTGCTTTATTAAATGAAAATTACAATATTGCCACCATCTCTTTCCCAAACATTTCAGCAACCCCTAGATGTGTTTTTCTGCAAATACAGATTTTTTTAACTCATAATCAACTTGCATTAGCTGGCTTGTTCCCCATACAAAGGTCTATCTGCCTCTACATAACTTTTTAACCACCTTGGTACTACATAATTACGGACATTAGATATAGATTTAAGGGAGAATTTCAATTATACCATTTTGATGGTACAATTTTTCATGTTTACCATCAACAAATGAACATTTTCAAAAATACACATTTTATTAAAGGATAAAAGACTCTTATATCCTTGTTCTTTATATATATACATAAAATAAATATTAAATAAAATATTAACCCTAAACCCTAAAACATCAATTCTAAACTCTAAACCCTAAACCCTAAAAATCAACACTAAACCCTAAAATTTCAATTCTTAACCTTAAACCCTAAACTCTAAACCCTAAAAAGTAAACTCTAAACCCTAAAAAATCAACACTAAACCCTAAACTATCAATCCTAAACCCAAAACCCTAAACCCTAAATTTTAATAGTATTTTGAGTATTAAAATTTTAATGGTAATTTCCCTAGATTTAAAAGTCTCATTTGATATCATGTCAGCTACCGTTTTTCCTGCTCTAGGATAATACTTCAGTTTCCAGCTCTGAATCTGTGACAAGTGATGTTGGATCACCTCTACCGTGGGCTGTAGAATAGGCCACACTTCTTCTTCTCCATCCACCATCTCGGTGAGAGTTATGAAGTCTGATTCAAACACAATATTCTTATATTGAAATGAAGCCTTCACGCTTGCTGCCCACTTTAAAGCTTCTGTTTCTGTTTCAATGATGGATCCCAATCTTGTCACTGCCTTTACGCCAGCCCATATACCATCTGCCCCTTCTTATTTCTGCAAATCCATACGACTCCGCTGTTGTTTCTTTAATGATGCCATGACCCATCAGTATTTCACTTCAACCAGTTTGTCTCTGGGGGCTTCCAAACAGCTTGTTGTTTGTTGTTGATGGTGTTTTTGTTACCTTTATTTTGAGCCTCATTTGATTCTCCCTGCTTCATGTCCCTCCATTCCCGTGCATCTTCTTTGGCCTTCGTTATTGTGCTCATTGCCTCTACCCTTGAACATGAATTCATTTATGTTTTTTCATAATATCCACAACAACCAAGGGACTAAACCTGCTTGCATGTCATCTCTCGGATACTGTTTTTCCAGATTTAGTACATGAAATATGTTTGAGTATAAAGAGTTGAACAATGTACCTCCAGGCGGAGCTGGGATTGGTGAGAGAGCCCACACTAGTCTATCCAAGGGGCATGATTGACAGTCTCACATATTTGCGCACATCTCAGACTATTTGCTTTCCAAAATATGTCTCTTGTGCATATTCTCTGCAACTGAAAGGAAGTTGCTTATACAATTCCACAGGAAGTGATGTACCTTTGGACTTGTATCTGCTTTCCATGCTAGTTGATAAATACTGTCTAGGCTTGGCTGGTCTTCTACCATCTCGCTTGACCCTCTTGGACCCAATATCCCGACTTCACTGTGTAATATTCAGTTCTAATATAATCCCAAATATAGACATCTCTGCTTCTCATTCCAACTGAACAGACCTTCTCCATTAGCATTCTTTCCGTAACAGGAAGATAACGCTCTAGTGCCTCTCTGTTGTGCTACCTTCCTTGATTGATTAGCAACTCACTGACTTTCATATCATAAGACCCAAAGTTATTATTCCCTTTTGGTCTCATCTCATGACCTGAATCTTTCTAGCTGGTTTATTTCTGTATCCATTGGTCCTGCCAGACCTTAGCTTCTTCACCATTGCCAATGATCATCCTAGCGCCTTGTTAAATGAGTTGTTTTGCTGCATGGATACTCCTCCAAGCATAGGATGTCCTTGACCACAATCCGGCATAAAGTGGATCAGATTTTGCATATTTCTTGCTCTTGTAAATCCTTGCCAGTATGGAATCATGATTCTTCATCATTTGCCATAAATGCTTTCCTAGTAAGGCTAAGTTATCGATATCTCTAAATCCTAGGCCATCCAGTACTTTCGGTTTTGACAGTTGATCCCAGCTATTCCTCTTGACTCTCTTTAGTTTACAACAAATATCTTTCAATTGCTTTCCATTTAAAGAACTGGGCTAAAAAATGAACTTCGTTAGATTTATTGGGGATTGCTTCTCTTGGTGTATTTTAATGGATTCAGAAATTCAAAGTAAGCCTAGGGTCAATTATTGGTTCTAGGGAGAATTTCAATTATACCACTCTGGTGGTACCATTTTTCATGTTTGCCATCAACAAAGTAACATTTTCAAAAATACACATTTTATAAAGGATAAAAGACTCTTATATCCTTGTTCTTTATATATATACATAAAATAAATATTAAATAAAATATTAACCCTAAAACATCAATTATAAACTCTAGACCCTAAAAAGTAAACCCTAATCCCTAAAAATCAACCCTAAACCCAAAAATATCAATTCTAAACCTTAAACCCTAAACTCTAAACCCTAAAAAGTAAACCCTAAACCCTAAAAAATCAACACTAAACTATCAATCCTAAACCCAAAACCCTAAACCCTAAATTATAATAGAATTTTGAGTATTAAAATTTTAATGGTAAAGTTGGTTAATGTAAAGTTGAAAAATGGTATCTTGAAAGTGTTATTTCTGGCAATTTCCCTTGGTTCTATGATTTTATAGTCTACACTGAAATCATGTGTTATTGGTTTAATGATCTACAACTTCTAATTCAAATCACATGTTATTCAATCATACAAATTACTAATGAATTTTATTTCACTGTGTATATATATATACCAATAACACCTCCTAAAGAAATTCAATATTCAGATTTTAGGCGGAGATTTCTTCAAATGGACAGTGAACTTTTGGAAACAGCGGATCACCGCCTAGCCACGACGATCTAATATAAAATTTGTAAATGTTTCTTAGATATTTTTTTAATGAGCCTAAGATGTTTGAGGCCGAGATCCAGACTAATTCCAAGGAGATTGACACATGAATAACATGCAAACCTGGTTGCTTTTTTAAACACTGGTCAAATTATGACATGATCAACCAGCATTATATGAGAGCATGATGAACAGTTTCAGGAACAACAATTTCACGATGTAGTTCTCCCCATAACATTTGGATCGACGAACGGTTTTGCATGTATGACATCCTCGATGGACATGTTCTCTCTGTACATGACCACAACAAACGGCTCTGTCTACAACACTTAATTTAGAACCTGCAAAAAGGTTCATCCTATAATCTGCAAGAAATTGTGTTTCTTCTAGGAATCGAACCTTAAATCTGGTGTAAAAACCTTTAAACTTTGACCATTATGCTACAGTGATTCAACAAAGCTAGTTTGTATATATTTTTGCCTAATCCCCATAACAAG